GGTCCGGGCTGGGGATTCGAACCTGCCACCTTACGTGTACGTGGCTGGCGCCTTAGCCGGTTGAGCTATAGGCGCCGAGCCAGGGCTAAAGTTTTTGCCACAATCTCCTTGGCACCTCAGACGCAGGTGCTATATCTTGATTAATATACACATTACCCGAAGTAGTCACTCACTAGTGAGGGAGTGGTTCCAGTGCTTATTATATGACAAACCTAGTTCTCCCTGGTTAACCACTGAAACCTAATACATTGTCTTCCTATGGAAACATGAAGGAGGCCTGTGTCTTTGCTGCCCTTGTTTTGGCAGCCTCTGCGTGGTCCAGTTCCGGTGAGTTCAGCACTATCCTTAACCTTTTTGTTGGCTATATAATAATAGATAACAAAGGGATAGTTAGACAAAGGAGAAAATCTGGAGGAAGTATTACCCAGTGCAGAAAATTGCAAGCTCTGGAGTCAGACTACCTAGATGTAATCTCAAATTGTGTTTATTTTATTAAGTAAATCGAAATTTTTTCTGACACAAAGCAAGTTAAACATTTAAAAAGGGAAACTAATATTTGTAGATTTTGTATTTGGTCACCATCATGAGGTTTTTTTGTTGTTTTAAAGACTTCTAATAGTTTGTGATCGAGAAACGGTAAACTCATTGAAAGCATAAGCTTTGGAGTAAACAAATCTGAGTTCAAATTCTGTGTTTGCCACTTATATCTATAACTTGGGCAAATCACTTCAGCTCTCTGAAACAGCTTTCTCATCTCTTAACTTCCTTTTCTGAGTATTGTGAGGAGTAGTGTGATAGTACATCATATTGGGCATTTGATACAGTAAGCTCCCTAATTGGTTACTGTCATTTATCATTCATTATCTTGAATTTTCTAAGTGGCCAAACTTCTTCTCTGCGTGTAATAATAATAATGTCTTTCTAGGATTATTTCTGACATGTTTCAGTATATTAACTGGAACTTTCAGGAGGTTCATTGAAAGACAGCCTTTTTAAAATAATCAAAGAAGACTTTTAAAGAAGTTAGATTGATATCTAGATTTCTTAGTGTAATATTATATTTTGAATTTGGTAAATTAGGTAACTTTGTTTTTCTATGCTGTTTTCTTTGAAGGACTGAAATATCTCACCTTTGAAAGTTTGAAATATCTCACCCTGTTAGGGTCTTTTCTGAAGTTATTTCTTTGAAAACTTTATTTTCTCAGTCAATTATAGGCTTTTTAAAAATAAAGAACTGTGCACAGTGGCTCATGCCGGTAATCCCAGCACTTTGGGAGGACAAGCCAGGAGGATCACTTGAATCCAGGAGTTTGAGACCAGCCTGGGTAACAAAGCAAGACCCTGTCTCTACAAAAAAAAATTTAAAAATTAGCTAAGTATGGTAGCAAATCCCTGTACTCCTAGCCACTCAGGAGGCTGAGGTAGGAGGATCCCCTGAGTATAAGAGTTCAGGGGTGAGCTGTGACCTGAGTTCACAGGTTCAAGTCCAGATTTTAATTTTATTTCATTTTTAATCCTACTGCTTTTTCTTTTCTGATTCATTATTTTTTTTAATTTATTGTTGGGGATTCTTTGAGGGCACAAGAAACCAGGTTTCACTGATTGCATTTGTTAGGTAAAGTCCCTCTTACAATCGTATGTTGAGATATAATTTACATATACCAAAAATTCAAGGCCAGTTGCAGTGGCTCATGCCTGTAATCCTAGCACTCTGGGAGGCCGAGATGGGTGGATAGCCTGAGCTTACAGGTTCGAGGCCAGCCTAAGCCAGAGCAAGACCTAGTCTCTAAAAATAGCTGGGCATTGTGGTGGGCACCTATAGCCAGCTACATAGGAGGCTGAGGCGAGAGAATCACTTGAGCCCAGGAGTTTGAGGTTGTTGTGAGCTATGACACCACGACGTTCTACTGAGGACGACAAAGTAAGACTCTGTCTCAAAAAAAAAAATTCACCATTTTAAAGTGTATAAGGTAGTGATTTTTAGTACATTTACAGAATTTTGTGACCATCTGATTCATTTTTTGCTTTAGCTTTATTATATCTTCTCTTTACTGCTTTCTTTCTTTTTCTTTTTTTTTTTTTTGAGACAGAGTCTTACTCCATTGCCCAGGCTAGATTGCCATGGCATCAACCTAGCTTACAACAACCTCATACCCCTGGGTTCAAGTGATTCTCCTGCTTCAGCCTCCTGAGCAGCTGGGACTATAGGTACCTACCACGACACTGAGCTAATTTTTCTATTTTTAGTAGATTCTTGCTCAGGCTGGTCTTGAACTCCTGAGCTCAAGTGATCCTCCTGCTTTGGCCTTCCAGAGTGCTAGGATTATAGGCGTGAGCCCTGCACCAGCCTCTTTTCTGCTTTCTCTGAAGCTGTAAGCTTTTGTTCCTCACTTTCATACCAAGGATGGCGAGTTCACACCTGGCCCCGGCCAAACTGCAACAGAAAAATAGCTGGAAAAGAAAACAGTGACAGCTCGGCGCCTGTGGCTCAAGCGGCTAAGGCGCCAGCCACATACACCTAAGGTGGTAGGTTTGAATCCCCAGCCCGGGCCCGCCAAACAACAGTGATGGCTGCAACCAAAAAATGGCCGAGCGTTGTGGTGGGTGCCTGTAGTCCCAGCTACTTGGGAGGCTGAGGCAGGACACTTGCTTGAGCCCAGGAGTTGGAGGTTGCTGTGAGCTGTGATGCCATGGCACTCTACCCAGGGGGACAGCTTGAGGCTCCGTCTCAAAAAAAAAAAAAAGGAAAACAGTGACTAATTCTCACATAAATTGGATTTAATTTTGAACAAAGTACATTAAATATTAATTTTTAATTCAACTTGTTAATATGTTGTTTAGGATATTGCATCCTCATTTATAAGTGAAATATGTTTGTAATTTCCCCCTTATAATAAAATATTTTCTCCAATTTTAATATCAGCTGTATGCAGATTAAGTAGAATGATTTTGAAGTATTTCTTCTTTTTCTGTTGTCTATAAGATTTGGCATGATCTGTTTTTTGAAATTTTCTTTTACTTTTATTTATAAATATTAGTTGTCTATTTTTTGAGACTTGGGGGAAAAAAAAGTAAGAAGTTAACTGATGACTCCATACTGAACCTCAGAGTCAAAGCATTCTATAATAGACATAGTCATATTTGACAATGTAAATGTTACTTTCTTTGCATCATTATTATTGTTTAATATTTCAAAGCAGCAATCATCTGATTTCTTTTCTAAATGTATTTATCTTTGTTCTTTACAAGATTTTTGTTTCTAGTCCTTAAACATTGCTATTATTATTAAATTTTAAGCCTTTTTAATTTTGTGAAGGCAAAAAGTGGAAACCTAATAAATACATGTATATGTAAAAAATAAATAAATGTTTCTTTAAAAAGGTGAAAAAAAAATAGCCGGGCATTGTGGCCCGCACCTATTGTCCAGCTACTTGGAAGGCTAAAGCAAGAGAATCACCTAAGCCCAAGAGCTGCAGGTGGCTGTGAGCTGTGATGCCACAGCTCTCTACTGAGGGTGACAAAGTGAGAGACTGTCTCTAAAAAAGAAAAAAAGAAATGTTGCAGACAACCTTCATTCCACTGGCCTAGCATTTCCAGACAAGGAGGCTTTGTGAGACTAGTAGTTTGACCTCCCTTTTCAGCCAGTGGGCGGGACCAACCTGAATAAGTGAGATGCGGAGAAGAAACCGAGCCTGTAGAGTTCAGACCTTTTTGCACATTCACTGTTTTGAGGCAGGCTGTCCTCAGTTTTAACATGAATGCTAAAACAAATGCTCTACACACAGAGCATTTCTAACTCTTGATGGGAGGATACAGGTTCAATGTTTGGGTGAAGGGATGAAGCGAACAAGTTTAATTTTGAGGTAAAGTGATGAGGAAGTTCATGTGGATATTGATTCAAGCTACAATCTCCAACTTAGCTCGAATGCATTCCACAGTTGATAATTATCTTCTTTTTTTTTTTTTTTTTTTGAGACTGAGCCTCACTTTGTTGCCCCTAATTGAGTGCTGTGGTGTCATAGCTCACAGCAACCTCAGACTCTTAGGCTCAAGTGATTCTCTTGCCTCAGCCTCCCGAGTAGCTGGGACTACAGGCACCCACCACAATGTCTGGCTATTTTTAGAGGCAGGGTCTTACTCTTGCTCAGGTTGGTCTTGAACCTGTGAGCTCAGGCAATCTACTGTACCTGGCCTTATCTTTATCCTTTTTGGTTGCAGTGGTCCTTCTTTCTCATTTGGTTTTAGAACTTAGAGGGGCTGGTAAAGGAGTCATTAAATATCACCTTTAAAACTCCATTGATTTTGTTTAAGTCTTTTTATTAAAAACATTTTATAGTTTAATAGTGTTTTTTTAAACCTAATCTAAGAGTCAGCCTTTTATTTGGAGAGTACAAAGCATTTGCATTTACAATCATAATGGATGTTATATGTTATAACTGTGCGGCTGTTATCCCATCAGTTTGATACATGCTTTTAGGTGCATTTACTTAATGCCTTTAAAGTACTGTTAGTCTGGCTCAGCGCCTATAGCTCAACCGGCTAAGGCACCAGCCACGTACACCTAAGGTGGCGGGTTCGAATCCCCAGCCCGGACTCGCCAAACAACAATGATGGCTGTAACCAAAAAATAGCTGGGTGTTGTGGCAGGCGCCTGTGGTCCCAGCTACTTGGGAGGCTGAGGCAGGAGACTCGCTTGAGCCCAGGAGTTGGAGGTTGCTGGGAGCTGTAATGCCAGGGCACTCTGCCCAGGGGGACAGCTTGAGGCTCTGTCTCAAAAAAATAAATAAATAAATAAAGTACTGTTAGTCTAACTGGTAAGAAGTCTAGCCTGCTAAATAATTAATTCTCTGTGACCTACACTGCCAAAGCTTTAAGTCCATTTACACAAATAATATTTTACAGGTGGTATTCCAGAAGTCAAAGAAGAAAAGCCGCAGCCACAGCTGCAACCAAAAGCACATGCTGGAGCTGTGGAAGAAACATTTAAAATTGTTAAAGACTCTCTCAGTGATGACGTTGTTAAAGCCACTCAAGCAATCTATCTGTTTGAACTCTCGGGTAAGGATCATATCTGGTAGTCTGGGCTTTTTTTTTTTTTTTCTGTTGTGGCAGTGTCATTGTTGTCTGAGCTGGCCAGGGCCAGGTTTGAACCCTCCAACCTTGGTGTATATGGCTGGCGCACTACCCACTGAGCTGTGGGCACCGCCTGGTAGTCTGGGCTTTTATGAAACAAAGTAAGATATTTCCTTTGGAAGAAAATCAGCCTCCACAAGTGATCACCTGGGAATTGGCTTTATCCAGGACCCTTATTCTTGAATGTAGATGTTCAAGAATAACAAATAACTGTGGATTTGTATTTTAAAATTTAGTACACGTGAGACGTGTAAAGTCCAATTTTATTACAAATATTTCCAGTGTTTATCAATTCCTTGGCATATTTAGTTGTGAGACAGTCCAACTTAAAAGGGTATATGGAAGATGACAGGTAGTATAATGCAGTAATTTGTCAACCATGGGTACCTTGCCATTTTTATTTTATGAGACTAGTCTGAACATAGTCAGCTTTTTAATAACCTCTTAAAATGTTTATTCTTATATGAAAATAACATTTGTTAATAATACTTTAAGAACTAGCTGCTACGCTAGGCACAGTGGCTAACATCTATAATCCCAATACTTTGGGAGGCTGAAGCAGGAGGATCACTTGAGGCCAGGAGTTCAAGACCAGCCTGGGCAACACAGCGAGACCCTATTCCTACAAAAATAATTTTAAGATATTAGCTGGACATAGTTGGCACACATTTGTAATGCTGTCTACTTTGGAGGCTAAAGTGGGAGGATTACTGATTGCTTGAGCCCAGAAGTTTGAGATAAGCCTGGGCAACATAATAAGACCTCCAATTCTTTGTTTTTTCTTTTCATGAGACAGAGTCTTACTTTGTCACCCTAGAGAGAGTTCCATGACGGCATCATAACTCACAGCAACCTTAATCTCTTGGGCTCAGGCAGTCCTCTTGCTTCAGCTTCCTGCGTAACTGGGACTACAGGTGCCCACCCCACCTCTGGCTAGTTTTTTTTATTTTTAGTAGAGACAGGTCTCGCTCTTACTCAGGCTGGTCTCAAACTCCTGAGTTTAAGGGATCTACCTACATTGGCCTCCCAGAGTGCAGGGATCACAGGCATTAGCCACCACTGTTTTGTCTTAAGCCATTTTTCCTTCCTGTTTTTACTTCCTTGTTACCCTTAGAATCCATGACCCATTGCTTTAATCACTGTCTTGCCTGTGTTTAAGCTTGCTAGACTCTTTGGGCTTATGTCATCACCTATCAAAACCTACTCCTGGGTGAATCAGACTATCTGGTGGCCCAACAGTTTCATCCAGGCTGCTAAGTTTTGGGGGAAGAAAAGAGGAAAAAACTCACACCATCTGGTGGACCTATACCCATGGAAATTCACCGTTGCCCCTTTTCAAGTGGGGTCCAAGCAGCACCTTAGAACTTCTGTATGTTTGTGGTCCACTTACTGCCATGTTTTCCGGTTACTATTTTGTTTTAAACTTTTTCAGTGTTCCTAAGGTGTCCCTCTGTCCCTTCACTCCTTTCCTGCCTGTGCTAGCAGATAATCTCACTTCTGTTTGATAGAGGTAATCGAAACCTACAGACAGAAATCGCTTCAGTTTCCTGCCATTAGATATGAAATCAGTCATTATAGGCACCACCCTCTCTTCCTTCCCTCCCAGTAGCATGGAGCTCAGTTCTGGATCAGGGCCCAAGTTCTGTCTGCACTGAGTACTGACTCAGTAGGTCCAAAGTGTAGAATCCGATTGAGTAGGTCAAGAGTAGAGATTCTGCATTTTGGACAGGTGATGACAGTATTGCACTCCACAGATAGATCACACTGGAAGGAAAGTTCTAGACCCCGTTTCCCTGGACCTTCTTGGGAGCTCTGTGCTGTTAATTGTGGCTTCTTATCCACCTGTTCATCCTGCATCCTCTCTCTCAATGTTATTTTCATGTTCTCAAGTCTTTTCTGTCTTTACAACAGAACCGAACAACAGTAACAAACTACGTTCCTCCTCCTTTCCTCCTTTCAGACCCAAATTTCTTTTCATCTACAACTCACTCTCCTGAATAGACTCTACTTGAGTGTCATTGTTCTCCATTCAGCTGAATTGCTGTCGCCAGGGTCCTCGGTGACCTCTGTGTCACTATTGGGCCCTTGTCATTCCTCCCTGTGTGACCAGTCTGCAGCATTTGATGCCGTTGACTAGTTCTTCCTTTTGGAAGTGCCCCTTTCCTTGGTCCTCCCTAGGAGCCTCTTTGCTTTCCTTCTCTGCCTGTGTTCATACCTTATCTGTCCCCTCTGCTGGATGCTTCTCCTCTGTTCGTCCCATAAATGATGTTTTTCAGGTCACCGTCTTAGCACTTTTGACCCTCTGCAGACTTTCTCCAGGAAACCCCAGCCATTCACGTGGCTTCAGTGACTGTGTGAATTGACTAACTGTGTGTCTGTTTCTCGCTCAGCCAGATTGCATTTGACATTTTTCTTTGACTGTCACAAAGATGACACAATCTGAAAATGTCCAAAACAACTTGCCATTCCCAACACCTACTTTTGCCACCACCCATTAAATTTGCTGTTTTTTGGTAGTCATCTCTGAGATTAAAAAAAAAAAAAGGAAAACACAAAACACCTGTATTTACCAGATTCTCAAAATAAAAACTAGCAAATCATTCCTGTGTACCTTCACCCCGTTTTCTTCATACTCAGCTACCTAGTCTATGGTTCTGCCTTAAAATGCTTTGTCAAATGTGCCCATTTTTCTCTATCCCACTGGCACCACCCTGATCCAGGCACACATGGTCATGCTTACCAGCACCATCTTTATTGGCCTTCTTTTTTTTTTGAGACAGAGCCTCAAACCGTCACCCTGGGTAGAGTGCTGTAGCATCACAGCTCACAGCAACCTCCAACTCCTGGGCTCAAGTGAATCTCCTGCCTCAGCCTCCCAAGTAGCTGGGACCACAGGCGCCTGCCACAACGCCTGGCTATTTTTTTGCTTTTGGTTGCAGCCATCATTGTTGTTTGGCAGGCCCAGGCTGGATTTGAACCTGCCACCTTAGGTGTATGTGGCTGGCACCTTAGCCACTTGAGCCACAGGCACTGAGCCCTTTATTGGCCTTCTGCATCCTCTCGATTCCACCACAGTATGTTATCTATACTGCATGAAAATGATCTATTTAAAATGTGCAAATCATGCTGGGCACGGTGGTGCACTCCTTCAGTCCCCACTACTTGGGAGGCTAAGGCAAGAGGATCGCTGGAGCCCAGGAATTGGAGACTTGCCTGGGCAATGTGGTGAGACTTAGTCTCAAAAAAATAACATAATAAAAATAAGCAAACCTCAATTCCTCATTCTCCTTCCATAGCATATCCTGTGAGACGATGTCAGTGAATCCTTTGCATGGCTCACTGTGCTTTGTACCTAGACTGCCTCCCACACTCACCTGATGCCACTCTCTAACCCCTTTCTGTCTTCCAGTTCTGCTGTGTGTTTTTTCAGTTCTTGACACATGCTACATTCTTGATTCTGGCTTTTTTGCACATCCTATTTCCAGTTTCCTTCTGCTCTGTCCATCTAGCTCAATGTTGGTTTTTTTTTTTTTTTTTTTTTTTTTTTGAGACAGAGCCTCATACTGTTGCCCTGGGTAGAGCACTGTGGCATCACAGCTCACAGCAACCTCAAACTCCTGGGCTTAAGCGATCTCTTGCCTCAGCCTCCCAAGTAGCTGGGACTACAGGCGCCTGCCACAGTGCCTGGCTATTTGGGGGTTGTAGTTGTCATTGTTGTTTGGCAGGCCTGGACTGGATTCGAACCTGCCAGCTCTGGTGTATATGGCTGGTGCCTTAGCCACTTGAGCTATAGGTGCCAAGTCTAGCTCAATGTTTTTCAACATTTTTTATCTCATATCACATTTGAACCTATAGTTAAACTTCCATAACATACAAATTATGTTGATAAAAAAAAAAAAAAAGAATTCGCTTGGCACCTATAAGTCAGCAGTTAGGGCACCAGCCACATACCCCAAGAGCTGGCAGGTTTGAACCCAGCCCAGGCATGCCAAACAACAATGACAGCTACAACTAAAAAATAGCCGAGTATTGTGGCAAACGCCTGTAGTCTCAGCTACTTGGTAGGCTGAGGCAAGATAATTGCTTAGCCAAAGAGTTTGAGGTTGCTGTGAGCTGTGACACCACAGCACTCTACCCAGGGCAACATAATGAGACTCTGTCTCAAAAAAAAAAAAAAAAAGAATTTAAAAAAAGAATATATTTAATGTGCTTTGAACTTCTTTCAAAAATAATTTAATTAATGATCTTTAAAAATTTTTGTAGCACACCTAAGATCGTCTCACGGCACACCAGAGTGCTGTGGAACACTGGTTGAAAATCATTGATCTAGGCAGCACCTGTAGGTCAATGTGTGGGGCTGCAGCCACATACACCAAGGCTGGTGGATTCAAACCCGGCCCAGGCCTGCTAAAACAACCATGGCAATTGCAACAACAATGTAAAAATAGTCGGGCGTTCTGGCAAGCATCTATAGTCCCAGACTACTTGGGAGGCTGACACAAGAGAATCACTTAAGCCCAAGAGTTTGAGGTTGCTGTGAGCTCTGACTCCATAGCACTCTACCCAGGGTGACAGCTTGAGACTCATGTCTTAAAAAAAAAAAAAAAAAATCATTGATATAGCTAATTCTTACTTAACTTTCAAATCTCAGCTTCAGTTGGGCTTTCCTGACTCTTTTTTTCTTAATTTAGATTTTTATTGTGGTAAACAATATAGAACATAAAATTTGTCCTTTTAACTATTTCTAACCATACAACTCAGTAACTAAGTGCATTCACATTGTTGTGCAGCCAACACCACCATGCATTTGCACAACTTTTTCATCATCCCAGTAAAACTCTGTACCCATTAAACACTAACTCCCTATTCCTTCCTCCTCCAGACCCTAGTAACCACTGTCTCCTTTCTATCTTTGTGAACTGCACCACCTGATCCTTTATTAATATGCTCCCATGTCACCCTCTACTTCCTCTATTAGGAGAACCATGCTTTTCTTGTTTATTGAAGAGTTGTTAGAGCCTATGTCCAGAGTACCCGGAATATAAGTGCTTAATACATATTTGCTGAATTTGATTGATAGTAGTCTGGGGATTTTAACCTGGGAAAGAGCATTTTGTAAGATTATTTTAATTGGTCTGGGGAGGGTGGCTCATGCCTATAATCCTAGCACTCTGGGAGGCTACAGCAGGTGGATTAAGCTCAGGAATTTGAGACCAGCCTGAGCAAGCCAGAGACCCTGTCTCCACTAAAAATGGAAAAACTAGCCCAGTGTTGTGTTGGGCACCTGTAGTCCCAGCTACTTGGGAGGCTGAGGCAGGAGGATCACTTGGGCCCAAGAGTTTGAGGTTGTTGTCAGTTATGACACCACCGAACTTTACCCTGGCTGACAGAGTGAGACTCTGTCTCAAAAAAAAAAAAAAAAAAAGATTATCCTAATTGTAGTAATTATTAAATTTAAGCACAAGGCTTCTTTGGCATTTATTTCTCTACGTTTATCTCCATATAGGTGAAGATGGTGGCATATGGTTTCTTGATCTGAAAAGCAAGGGTGGGAAAGTCGGATATGGAGAGCCTTCTGATCGGGCCGATGTGGTGATGAGCATGTCTACAGAAGATTTTGTGAAAATGTTTTCAGGTGGGTTTTTAATTTTTTAGTTTACATATTGTTCAAGGAAAATTTAACCCCGACATTGTATTTTATCCCTTTCCAGGTAATCAAGACTTGTAAATGTTTTCAGCGGTGGAATCTTAGCAGCTATTTATGTTGAGGAACACTTAGTTTAGGGAAACCCATTCTTCCTGTTGACTGTACTAACCCTTCTACCTGTCTACCAAATGGGGAATAGACCAGAATTTCCTCTTTGCATGACTGAGAAGCTAATATAATGTTGGGAATAGAGAGATAATTCAAAGGGACTCCTATATTAGGAGGACTTCTCTATATTAGCTGGACTAAGAAGATATCATGTTTCTATTAATGCCATGGTTATGGGAGGCACTGAATCTAATACCGACTTAGGCTATTGAGAGTAAGGTCATGCTTCCGTCTTGGCAGCTGTTGTATTAGGAAACAGATACCCGCCCTCTGCCGTGGCCCAGTGACCCTGCTTTCTGTAGAGTCCTTGACTTAGAGAACCTTTTTGCATGATTTTCTATTCTGCCCATTTACCTCTAAATGTGCCAGAAAATTTTTAAGGGGACTTTTCTCTATTTTCTAGTCTCAGAACGCTAGTCCAGATGATAACACAAAATCTAAAAATTTAAAAGCAGCACTTTCAGACTAAAGCATTAGAACATTCTGCTCTAGAGAGTTTTTCATATAATGAATTATAAATGTCCTTCACACTTTGTTCTGTTTTAATCTTTAGAGACAGGATCACAGAATATTCTGTGCCCTCTACATCTCGTTTTCTAGTTCTAATCCAGGATGCTAATTGCCTACATTCTATCTGAGCCAGTCTGTGTAGGATGTACTAACCATCAAGGTTTCTTTAAATGTTCCCCCTTTGGTAATATTGTTAATGATTTATCATAGAAAAATTACTTAAGAAAAAAGAAAAAAAATTTTTTTACCACTTCACTGAAAAATGTCCATCAATTGATTTGGTTTGGCATCATATGTATGTCTATTTGTGTGTGTGAGTGAATATACGTAAATATACATGTGTACTTATAAAAACAGGATCATAACATTATTCCTCTTTGCCTCCTCTTTCAATTAATGCATTATAAGATCTTTCGATATTAATGAATAGTTCTCTCTTTAAGGATTTTTATTATTAATATTTTAATTTTAATAGTTAAAATTGTAAATAGTTAATTTTAATAGTTAAAATGTTATTAATATTTTAATTTTTAATAGTTAAAATTTTAATAGTTAATTTTTAAAATAGTTAAAAATCCCTCTTTAAGGATTTTTATTATTATTAATAGTTTATTCTTTGCTTCATGTTTCAACAACTATTTCTCCATACAGTTTAAACACGGTGCTTTGGACACAATAAATGCTCAATAAGTGTTTGATAAATCTGAATCTTATATATATTTTTAAACTTAAAGACTGTTTAAAATAGGCTCGGCGCTTGTAGCTCGCTCAATGAGTAGGGCGCCAGCCACATACACCAAGGCTGGCAGTTTGAGCCTGGCCCAGGCCTGCTAAACAACAATGACAACTCCAGTCAAAAAATAGCCGGGCATTGTGGCAGACACTTGTAGTCCCAGCTACTTGGGAGGCTGAGGCAAGAGAATCACTTAAGCCCAAGAGTTTGAGGTTGCTGTGAGCTGTGACACCACGGCACTCTACCGAGGGTGACAAAGTGAGACTCTGTCTCAAAAATAAATAAATAAATAAAAATGTATTGCCAACTTCTAAACAGAAATAGCAATAATTATATATAAAATTTATTGTATGGTTGCTATTGGTTAAGTAGTACTCCCAATAGTTCTTTCAGATAAAATATTTTCTCCATTTTATAGCAGTAGAGTCTGAGGCTGATGAATTAAATAATAAATTCATGATCAGATAGTGAATAAATGGAGTTAGGATTTGACTCCAACCTAACTCCAAAGTTCATGCCCTTAATTATTATACTATTCTGCCCTACAAAGGTGAAAATTTAAAAATCTTTCTTTAATTCGCATTTTACTTATGTAGCATAAACTTTATATCTTTCTGTGACTGTCCTCTGGTATTGACTGGAGAGGTCAGCCCGCTGGATGAATGATTTTTTTTAAACCTAAGTTGTGTTATGAGGTGTATTTTACAGCTGTGGTTCAGATTGGGAGCGAGTGAGTTTGCTTCTACTTCTTATGTCCTTTCATTCTTCCTATTCATCCCATCTGCTTTCCTTTAAATGGGCACAATTTAGACCTTTCAGGGGTCCTCAAACCTTTTAAACAGGGGGCCACTTCACTCTCCCTCAGACCATTGGAGGGCCAGACTGCAGGCCCCGGGACTAGTCGGCTGCTAAGCAGGACAGGTAGCGGCGGCAAAAACACCCGGCGGGCCGGATACATGTCCTAGGTGGGCTGCATGTGGCCCACTGGCCGTAGTTTGAGGATGCCTGCTCCCTTTTATGAAACCAGAGCTATTGCCAGACTAATTTATATGGTCGTTATAAATATAAAAACTTAAAGCAGCTGGTAACCCAAAATAACCAAAATCTCTCCTTTTGGCCAGTACAGGCCAGTGTTGCCTTTTAAGAGATATTATCTATGTATTACTTTTCAAAGTTGAATTGAAGTTTATTATTACTGGTCAAGTGTACCTAGACAGGTTACCCATATCCATTTCACCTACAATTCATACACTTTTGAGGAATGATGGATTTTACTTCTAACAAGATTTCTTAAAATGTGTATACATTTTTTTGGCACCGTCAGTATATGTATGTATATATAATAGTCGTTTTAATATATATATGGATATATATGTATATAATAGCTTTTTTTAAGTCTTTGAGACAGAATTTTGTTAAGGTATTATTTATATATGATAACATTCGCCATCACAAGTACGTGATTTTTAGTAAATTTTTTTTCTTTTTTCTTTTTTTGGCCAGGGCTGGGTTTGAACCCACCACCTCTGGTATATGGGGCCAGCGCCCTACTCCTTAAGCCACAGGTGCCACCCATGATTTTTAGTAAATTTATAACTGCATAGCTCTCATTACAATTCAGTTCAAGAACATTTTCATCACACAAAAATATTCTCTCATTATTAGCCAGGCACAGTGGCTCACGCCTGTAATCCTAGCACTCTAGGAGGCTGAGGCGGGTGGATTGCTTAAGCTCAGGAGCAAGACAGAGACCCTGTCTCTATTAAAAATGGAAAAACTAGCCAGGTATCTTGGCAGGCACCTGTAGTCCCAGCTGTTCAGGAGACTGAAGCAGGAAGATCTCTTGAGCCCAGAGTCTGAGGGTGCTGTGAGCTATGATAGTAGAGTGACTACTAGGTTGCCGTGAGCCTTCTACCCAGGGCAACGGAGTAAGACTCTGTCTAAAAAAAAAAAACTTTCTCTCAAGTCTCTTTATAGTCAATCATCTTTATACCCCTGACTCTCCTGCCAGCCAAACACTAATGTGCTTTCTTTCTCTATAAATTTTCTGTTTCTGGACATTTCTTCTAAATGGAATCAAACAGTATATAGCCGTTTGCATCTGGCCTCTCCCACTTAACATGAGCCTTTTGAGATACATCCATCTGTATATTGCAGCTGGTCTTCGTCGTTCAGTTCCTTTTTACTGCTGAAGTAAAAGAGGATTCTTTTGTCTGGATAGACCACATAATGTTTATGTACTCACCAGCTGATAGACATCCAGATTGTTAAAGGTTTTTTTTTGTTGTTGTTTTTTGTTTTTTTTTTTTGAGACAGAGTGTCACTATGTCACCCTGTTTAGAGTGCTGTGGTGTCACAACTCATAGCAACCTCAAACTCTTGGGCTTAAGCGATTCTCTTGCCTCAGCCTCCCAAGTAGCTGGTACTACAGGTGCCTGCCATAAAGCCCAGCTATTTTTGTCATTGTTGTTTAGCTAGCCCAGGCTGGCCTCAAACCTGCCAGCCTCGCCAGCCTTGGTGTATGTGGCTGGGGCCCCACTCACTGAGCTATGGGCACCAAGCCAGGATTGTTAAAGTTTTTGACTGTTATGACTATTGCTTCAATGAACACTCTGATACATGTATTTGTGTGGGTATATGTTTTCATAGACTCCTAAGACAAGGAGAGTCCTAAGAGTGGAATTGCTGGGTCATATGCTAAATTGATATTTAAATTTTAAAGAAACTACCAAACTGTTTGCTAAAGTGGCTGCACCATTTTTATATTCCCATTTGCAATGTGTTAGAGTTCAATTTTCTTTATATTCTCACTAATACTTTTTATTTTTTTTATAATAGCTATTCTAGTGAATATATAAAGGTATCTCATTGTGGTTTTAATTTGCAGTTCCTTAATGATTAATGATGTTAGATATCTTTTCCTGTGTTTGATAGCTTTTTCTTTTTTCTTCTTTTTTTGAGACAGGGTCTTGCTCTGTTACCTGGGCTAGAGTACAGTGGTGTCCATCATAGCTCACTGCAACCTAGACTTAGTCTCAAGCTATTCACTTCCCTCAGCCTCCCACATAGCTGGGACTACAGGTGTGTGTCACCATGCCTGGCTAATTTTTCTCTATTTTATAGAAACTGGGTCATGCTTTTGCTCACTCTGGTCTCTAACTCCTGACCTCAAGCAATCTTCCTGCCTTGGCCTCTCAAAGTGATAGAATAATAAGCATGAGCCAGAGCGCTTGCCTTGATAACTATTTATATTTGGTAAACTGCCTATTCAAAGCCTTTGCTCACTTTATATTGAGTTGTCTTTTGTAATTGAGTTATAAGAAATTGAGATTAGATTAGATCTTTTAATTATTGAGTTGTAAGATTCTTTATAAATTCAGGGTGCAGATTGTTTATCATACATGCGATTTGCAAATATTTTTTCCTTGGCTGGGTGTGGTGGCTCACACTTGTAATCCTAGCACTCTGGGAGGCTGAGGTGGGTGGATTGCTTGAGCTCATGGGTTCAAGACCAGCCTGAGCTAGAGCAAGACCCCATCTCTACTAAAAATACAAAAAACTGAGGCAAGAGGGTTG